TCCCTGTCTAGTGTATTCACAGTATTTGTATTACCAAACATTGAGATCTAGTTTTTGTTTTGTTTAATTTGATACTTTATATGTTGTCTATTATTTCTGTAGTCAAATGTTTTGACATGTTAACGTTTAGCACTAGATCATGCTGACTGAACTTTTTTGATTTTTCAGGGTTGGACTGTGTGCTTTGCTTTAAATGTAAAACATTTCTCCGTGAAAATACCATCCTTCTACCTACTGTCAAAGATTCTACTGTGTAATTTCCACTGAATCATGGTGACTGTGTTTGACTTAAGGCTAACTCATTTGCTGTTTGACCTACTGACAGTAGTGTATGATGTAAACAGTAGTTTTGGGAGCTGTATTGAAATAACCTTTAGACTAATCGCAGATAGAAAAGGGAAGCTCTAAACAAGAATTTACTACTGAAATGTTAATCATTAAATAATAAAATCACAGATTATGAAAGTCATTCTTTATATGACACAAAAACATCTTCTGTAGTGTCTCAAAGCACAGTCGGCACAAATTGCATGGGCAGTGTGAATACCTTCAGTTAACTGATACTGGGGGCTCTGACAGTGATTTTTAGTAAGCTAAGCCAGGTGTCATCTTCAGAAATTCGTCTGTGGGTTGTCCACCTACATAGTTCCTCAAGCATCACTATTCAAGCCCTGTTTGTGTGCTGCATGCATCCTGTGGTGTGAGGCTTGGGGTTGTGCAACATCTTTTTTTAAATGCTAGGAAGCACAAATTTTTTCTTTTTCCTGTCTGTTAGCATTTCAAATGTCTGTCTGGTGTCTCCATCCCTGCATTTCGGTCCTTCTGCATTCCAGCCTGCTTGCAGTATTTCTGTTTCTCCTGTAAGCTGCTGGTAGTGGCTTTTCCAGTGTTTGTGTCGCCTTTTCAGTGCTGTGCTATTTCTGAACGGTGCAGTGCCTCTCACTCTCATGGAATATTAAAGTCTCTGCTGTTGCTCTCTTCCATGCAATTTAATGGAAGAATTGCTTTTCATTAAAAGTTGTAATGAGAACTGTGCTGGGGATTCATTTATGTCCGTGATATACTGTATATCAAAAGAACTGTTTTTTTTTTCTGTTTGGAAAGGCAAAAGGCATTTGTTTAAGTAGGGAGTTTCAGGCAAGGAGAGAGATATACTGAAGAAGCTAAAAAAGGATCAATTTCCTTCTTTTTCTTTTATGGTTCATAAAACTCATCTTCTGAATGTCCCTTCATCAAACGATTCTGACATTTTGTTAAAATATAAATGTGTTCCAGTTGCAGCACTTTGGAAATTTCATTTCCCCTCAAATCAATAGTTCTTTCTTGCTCACATTAGATAAGCAGCTTTCTGTCCTGAATTGTATTGATTCATCTAAGGCTTAAAGTCCATTGATTACCTCTTATAAAATAATGAGGATGCTCTCCCAGCACCAGAGCTAGCCTCCAACACAGTTCAGCTATTAATCTGAAGTGTATAATGAACAAGGACAAGTGCAATTGTTCCTTTTTTATTTAAAAGGGAATATAAAGGGAATGTGTGTTTTCTGTCACATGTAGAGAGCAATCAAGAACTTTAAATGCGCTTCTGAAGAGAAGTGGTCCTTTTGCTGTGTACATAGTGGGGGATTATGAACTCCACAGCAATACATAAATAACCAGAGGAGCTGTCTAGAAAGTTCTGTACATTTTGCTCGGTAAGTAAGAAGAGGTGGCTCCTGCCAGACAGTTGAATCATCGAACAATTCCAGCACTAAAAAATGAACAAAGATGGAACTTTCTGTGGCAAAACATTTGTCAGGAGGAAAAGTTATTCCCCTTTCAGAAACAGAGACTACAAGCCTTGTGTATTCTTATATATGTTGATATCATTTTTAAACGATAGAAAGCTTTCAGCCACTCCGATTTCTTCTTGAATGTTTTTTTTTTTTCACTTGGGTTGATGCCCTTCTACCTGTGGCAGTTAGAACAGTCGAGCTGCCTGGTTCTTTATTTTCATAGCGGAAACAGCAGGGCTAGTTCACCATTCATAGGATTTGACCCATGAAATTGATTGGAGGCCCTCTGAAAAAAAGTTCTGTTATCGCCGCCGCGACTTTGACAGAGTTCCCCTTTCCCCATTTTAAAAACGGAATGATTCCCAGCTCTCCCAGCATCTGCACCGAAGCTGTGTGCAGACGTCAAGTAATATAGTCTTGGCCCACACTGCCGAGGCACAGAAAAAGTGGGGCTACAGAGATACACTCTTCTTCTTCTCCATCAGCCTGGTCAGCGGCGGGTGGGGGGGGTGACACTCAACGCGTGTCTTCTCTTCCTCTGGCCCAGGTCCCTATGACTTCGGGGGGGTCCTCACCAACAACAACCGCGACCTTCTGAACGGCGAGACGGTGCACAAGAGGAGCCAGGCGCACAAGGAGATGCACTGGTGAGTGAGGGGGCTGGCTCTCGCTTCCTAAGATGCGGAACGTGAGGTCAGCGAGCGCCCTTTAGGGAATTGCTTGGAAATACAGACTGTTTCCTGGTATCCGCCAGTGTTAGGGACCAGCAAGGTCATATAGCGGCAGTATGGACTTGACTTTGCCCAGCAATTTAAAGCAGGAGGCTTTTCCCATTAAGAATTAAGCGTCGGGTTAGGGACCATTAGGATAAAGGGCCAGACTGAGTCTCGCACTGTTGGAATAACTTTGTGTGGATGGACGAGCCTTCAGGTAAAAAGCTGGTAAAAGAGAAATATGGTTAACGCCATTCTGAGTCATTTTGGCTATTCAGATGTGTTTTAGAATAATTCAGGTATGTATTGTGTTTTTCTGTTCCATTCTCTAAACCAGCTAGTGGGATTAATTATCATTTAAAGTTGTCCTTTATTGTGGGTATGAAGCAGATTTTTTAGGAGTGTAAGACTGATATTTTTCCTACTGTAGGAAGTTGTCCTTGAAACCTCAGTGGACATGTCCTTTAAACGTTTGTGCTGCGCTTCCGTACTGTTATCAGCTCCATGTTGTTAACTAGTTTTCAAGCCACGGGGAGACAGGCCTTGCCATAAGGGTGCACTGGGTAGTGTAAGGGCTGGGTAATGAGGCAGTGCAGTGAAAAAGACTCACAGTAATGGTAAAAAGGAGGGAAATGCATGTAGCTCTTATTGGCTTTTGTGCTTCAGTCTTCACCCAGGAGACCTGTATCCTTTCACCCGGAAGCCTCTCTTTATCATTGTGGACTCCTCCAACAGCATGGCGTACAAGGTGAGCAGGTTATCTCCCCTTGTCGGTTGTCAGCCAGACTTGCCCAGTCGAACTGGGCTTCTCAAGTAGCAGACCAAATCCAGAGAGCTTGCTTGCATTGTGGAATTAGAAGATTCAAAGGTAGGATGATTGTCCCACAAGAAATCCTCACCTGTTGTGTAATTGTCCACCTTTTTTCTTGACAGTCTGCGGCAGCCCTGCATCATGATTTTTGAGGCTTAACTAATTACTTCTCTGAAATCCACTTTGTACCTTCCACTGTTTGTGGCTGAAGAGGTTTAATCTGTACAAAGAGTAACTTTTTGACTAAGAGTTTAAATCCCCGGTTCCTAATACTAGTCCTGAGGAATCTTTTGTGTCTTTTGTGTTTTGTTTTCTCCAACCAGACCCGGATTTCAGTTTTCTGTTGGAGGTTTATAAGCTACATTTGCTCTCAGCTCTTCACATGAATGGGATGTACAGTATGAGTGGTTTTACACCACTGTACCAGTTTCTGGGTTTCAGCACTTCCCTCATTAAAGTGTGTTGCCTGAAACACAGCCACCTGTGCCTGTGCAGAAGGAAGGAAAACTCATCCAGGCCATCAGTTTTTGATACATGGTATCACCTCTCTCACCTGTGTGCGTTCAACATGCATTGATCATTGATTAAGAACTGTCATCAACAGGGTAAGGTGAATTGAGGAGAATCTATTCCCTTAATGTCTGCGTGCTGCATTTGCAAGTGGTACTCTTGAACTGATGGATTATTTAAACTGAGAGCAGGAGCAAATTGACGTCATCTTCAAGCGAGCCTGTCCATTAAAGATATCAGTTCATTCAGTCGGCGAGTTTGGGTCTTGGTGCATTTCAGTTTGTAAGTCAGCACAGGTACTATATTTCATCTGAGCTGGCTGGGATTGTTGTAGTATTCCTCCTGAGTACGTTGAGTCATTGCTTAAAAACGCCCTTTGGCTAAATCCGGTGCATTTGAGATGTACTAGCACACCTCTCAAAATTAATCTAAATTGTGGCGAAGCGACAGCAAGACTTCTGATTTTTTAAACAAGGGCTCTCTCTGGTGGCAGACAGATCTCATTACCTCCTCCTGGCACTTGCACTGCGCTTCTGACTGATACAGTTTTCATTTCTGCTCTGCCAGGCTGAGATAAAATCTCACACCCGTTTGAAGATTCCCACAGGAATGAAACGTTTTAAAACTGGAGAATGAGGCAAAGGGGAGATAAAATAAAGAGCAGAAATATTGATTGTTTTTGTTTTGTGCTGATGAAATCAGTATCTCCGATCAAAAGATTAATAAGAGGCAAAAGTATAGAATGTAAACGTATCGCACATTTTGCGGACGTTTAGCCATGTTAGAACAGCTTCATTTGTTGTGTTCAATCCGTCTGTTTCAGTCTGTTTCTTGAGTTGTTCTTGAAAAGACAAAAACCGAGATGAAGACTCGAGATTTGCCTGTGACAGAAAAGCCAGCAATTGTGAAAATCGGAGCAAAGAGAATTCCGAAGAGACCCATTGACTGCGGAGAGATTAGGCATCGTGGAATCAACACTATGGAATGTCTTGTGGAACACAATGAGCAAATAGCAGGTCGTCCCAGGCAGATGACACCAGCTCATGGCAGAAAACTTTTATTCTAACACGTAACCTGTGCTCAGAAGTGTCCAGAAATAAAAGCTGACATTCTGTGTTTTTGCCTCATCTAAAATACCCATTTCAATAGCACGCTGATAAATTTCTCTCCATTCCCCTTACTTACACTTTTCACTCTAAAAGTTCAAATGGCTTTGACTGGATCAGTTAACATCTGAACTGGGCACATTTCTCTCTGCATCCTCGTCACTGGAAACATACTTTCACTCTGTGCAAAAAAACAACAGAACTTGACTACAACTAAGAGCTTTCTCTTGTATTTTAATTAAGAAACCACTTGATTCCAAATAAAAGACAGGAAAATCAATACGATTTTTTTCCCCTGTTGAACCAGGGGCGGAATTAAATCTTTGCTGTTGGGGCGAAGAGAACTGAAAATGGAAACAAAATCAGATTAAGTTGAGAAAATTAACAGAATTTTTGTCTGGGTCCTTGTCTTCTTTTTCTGTAGAATTTCACAAACCTGTTTGGCCAGCCTCTGGTTTGTTTGCTTTCTCCGACCACGTATCCTAAGAGCATGCAAGGTGAGTGACCGCCGAAAGTGGAAGTCGGAGACCTTTATCGGAGATTACGACGAGAAGTTACGTGATGCGTGTCTAGCAAAATGGGACAGCAATCATACCAACCAGTAGATACAAGGCAAGAGAGTATGGCAGGATCTGCACTGCCCTATGAAATGGGTAGATGATGGTATATTCGATGGAAGTAGCTGATGTAGGCAGCATCTGGTATGTCTTCTGATTCCAGAGGATTGTAAAGTAGCAGCAGACCTGTCTGCTGTGCTCTGGCGAAGGTGGCTAAAGTAAGAGATTTCGTGAGAGGCATTATTGTTGGCATACAGTATGTGCCTGTGATGCATCAGTGAGGGCAACAGCAGTGAGAAAGAAAGCCCTCAGGAAGTGCAGTTCAGGCTGCAAGAAGATGCTGAATCAAAGGGCAGAGGGCAGACGGCACTCCTGGAGAGAAAGCGCTGGCCGGGGTCACGAGCCCAGGGCAGGGGTGGGGTGGTATACCACCAGGACAGTGTGTTACAGTTTATTTACAACTGAAACCATCGAAACAAATTGGCCACCTCAGTTATCGTTAATAAACGGAACGTAACGTAAAGCCCTTTGAAGAGAGCATGTGCTTGCCCACACACAGCGGTAGGGTTACCCCTCTCTCTCGCTCCCAGATCAGTCTCAGCGCGGCAGCCTCTTCACCCTCTTCCTCTACAACCCGCTCATGGCCTTCCTGCACGTCTGCGGCCTGTCCAGCATGCGCCGGGGATTGTGGGACAAGTCCCAGGAGTACCTGCGCAAGGTCTACCGCGATGTGGGCCAGCTGATGACCCACTCCCGCGCAATAGGTACTGCCCGTACTGCTGAAGCAGGACCAAATCTGGGCTGAAGGCGTCCGTTTCTGTCTGTACTGTACTTCCCTTACTCCAGTAAATTGTTAGTTTGTACCGTATGTGTTCTTAGAACATCTCGGCTCTGAAACACAGTGATGGTTGTCAAAACAGCTGTTTGTAATGTCATAACAGTGCTTTCTTTTCGATTCGAACTGTCTCTGCTGTTGTAGATATTCTTATTTCCGTTCGTTTCGATTTTCCTAATGCCTGGGAACTCCCTTCTATGTGTTTTATCGTTTGCTTTAATTAGCCCGCAGCGCAGGCAGTAATCAGACCCCACTCCTGTGTGTGGAGTTGCCGACCCC